GATACAGTACATGTGACATACTAACCGAACTTATCGATTCCTTACTCCAATGTGACATGAAATACTTAACAGTAAGGAAACAATAAGAAAGGCAATAATTAACACAAGTGAAATATACAACTTAAAAAAGTGGCATATACAGTGTGTGTAAATGGAGAACGAGAAGACAGTTTATTGTCGCTCGTTTTGGTTTTCCAGAAAGTTCTAAGCAGTACGTAAATCGGATTCTGATCTTACCTCAGAGAGAATTATCTGCCAAAGGGATTATCTTCTTAAAGAGGTCTCAGGGTTCGGCAGTGATTTGGTTCTTCTGTGTGACCAGCCCACCCCCCCCCCCCCTAGTAGTGAGGTAATCTTACATGCTGTCGTGGAAGTTGTCTTTGAGAAATGAAGGACCTGACCTGACAAGTATTTACACACAGTAACCAATGGATGTGAACACACTGCATCGGGCATTTAAACGACTTTACACGCCTAACTACAACGTTTGTTATTTTCCGTTTATTTTATTTTGTGGTTGAATGAATGTGGAGAGAACCTCACAGGTGACGACTGAGCTGATTTTGTTACAGAGGGATCTGCTTGAGAACGTGCATTGAATGTGAGCACCTCCGGATCCGGCTGTAAGGTTTCACAAGTTACGTTATTAAATAATACGATGGATGTGGATACTGTAAGTGAGTCTAGTCTGCCCTATTCACCTCCCGAGAGCATAAGAACTCTATCCTCTGGGTGGGTTCAGCCTTAACCCCCAAGGAACACTACACCACGACAATTTAAAACTTTACATCAGCCTCTATTATTGCATGGGTTACCTTTTCCAATCACAAAGTATATGAGCATTAATTACACAAATGAATTATTGCACTTGAATTGCTTCTTATCCTAGACTACCTGTACAGTACCTGGTCGAATTACCTCAATCTCAGCACTCATTTACATACCATTCATCAAATACAGAAAATTCAGTGTTTTATACTTCTGTGAGGTAATAGTGTACCGACAAATCCGGAGTCTATCCCTGGAAGCCTAAGAAACAAGTCATAGGACACCTTTGATAGAATTTCAGTCCATCACAGAGCACAAACATGCACTATGGGTAACTTTGAGAAGCCAGTTAGCCTAATTGCATGTTTTTGGATTGCACGAGGAGATCAGAGTACCCAGAGAAAAGCCACACCAAATCCCACGTGTTCCCCACTGCGCCACAATGCCGTCCACGTCACACTCATGGCCAAAACTGTGGAAACACTGTCAGCTTTTAGAGATCGCAGAACTTTACTTATTTACTTATTTAATCGTCCAAAGTATGATATTTGTAAAATCATACATTCGACAATAAAATATGCAACTGGAGCAACAGTTGAATAAATTTCTGCAGTCTCTAAAAGTAGGATGTGTTTCCACAGTTTTGGCCACATAGTGTATCTTCTGAACTCAAAATATTGCAGAGAGAATCTCAGAGATTAGGAAGCCAGGAATTCAATGCACCCTGCAAGGTAGTGGTGAGCAAATCAGTTTTAATTAAAAGAATTTAAAACATATTTCTACTTAAACTACTCCTGTAATTTTAGCAGAGGCGGGCAGGGAGGCTAATTTCACAGGCCCAGCTATGTGCTAAATGACTTTCCCTCCACACAAATAATGACATTCATTTATGCAGGGGGGCTAATCTGTCCTCTTCCGTGTCAGATTACCGAAGAGGCCGAGGCGGAGCAGAGGCATTAGGGAGCAGGGCTCATGTCACACATGTTCTTTCTGTGAAGACACTGGCAGGTGGCCGCACACAGTCACATATAAAACCAAATTCACCGTAGCATCGAAATCGGGTTGCTGACTTCTGTTGCCATAGCGAATCTTAATTAACAATGCGCCGCGCTCCGTTCCACAATGGAATGTAACGGCTGTCCGAAAACTCCAAAACCAGGACGCCTACTTTTATAACGAAATCAGTGAATAGCTTTTAATTAACCTGGCTAATTACACTACAGACTGAGTAACGAGTAATGGAGTAATTCTAAGTACTGATATCATACTCATGGAAATCCAGCTTTTCTGCACTGTGCGCTCAGCTTGAACAGTTATAAGCCAAGAGGTATCCATTGCTGCGCGTGGATTTGTTTTCATCCTGCAGCCTCAACACCAACTGCACCACACAATGGCTTATTTAATGGGAATTCACATACAGTATCAAGGCACAGCAGTCTGTCTGCTCCATATAAATTATATAAATCTAGTACTGTAACACAGTCGCGGTATATAGCCCAGGCTGCATGCAAGATTAATTCCTAACACATTAGTGCGCGGCTCGCAATGTTTTTCATGGAATCCTATGCATGTATCTTCATTAACAAATGCCTGAGGTAAAACACTGCATGCAAGCAGTGGGTATTAAAAATGAAAATGTCACGAGTATGGGGAAAAAATAAAATAAAATACTGCACAAAACAACAAAAGAAAAATCTGAAATGCTTTGTTTTTCGCTCGCTGATTAATTCCTTTCACTGACTGCTGAAATAATTATTGGAATTAAAATAGTCACCCTGATCTTGTATTTCCTGTATTCTGTATCAGATTTAACAGGACCACATGCAAAATACAGCACACTTTCTGCATGATTTGTGTGTTTTGCTGTATTATTTATGTTAAGGTCTTTGGGGGACTCAGGCGATCTGTTCAAAGACATTAAGAGCGCATTCGACGAAGCTACTGATGTCGCATGCTTATCATATGATAGATTATGTGTTGCTCTTCGCATTTAGACTGTCGGACGGATATTTGGCTGTGAGGAAAACACTCTATCTAAAAAGCTTCAGCAAATACGCGGAGCCACACGCCGGCAAAACCCTGCATTGTAAGCTGCCTTAGTCACTTCGGTCGAAACCGTCTGCTGACACGTGTATTTATTAATTTACTTATTGCTTAGCAGAGACTCTTACTTAAAAACTTAAGACCCCACAGTTTTCCAGTTTACCCACTAATGTAGTGGATAGTGTAGTATATTATACTAAAATTCATCTAAGATAGCCTACTCGAGAATACATCTTGGCCAGAAGATACTAGTCCAGATCTAACAGCTATTGTTCTCAGAATAAAAGCCTTTCTTTCATTTATGGAGAATTTTCCGTTTCCATTCCGGAGCGCACGTCCTAATCAAACGTATATGCATGACGTTCATTTTCTCTTTCCTCAGCTGCCCAACATCTGTTCTTCTGCCATCTGGGAGAAAAGCAACCATTTGACAGGAAGCCCAGATTCAATTCACACCAACATTTAAATAAGACATTGATAGCACATAGGAAAACGTAACACCGCGTTGGCACGCTTCCTGACAGCAAGTTTCCTGGCTAAAATTCCTAATTCCTATGACCGCTGACTTCAGTACAATCCAAGGGGCCCCATACAACACAATACCTTTAAGGCGTAGCAAGGGAGGAAATTCTCTAGGAAGTTCTAAATGAAAAAAAGAAGAAGAAGAAAAATAATTATATATACATATATGTAATTGTGCTGTGAAGATGGACTTCATGAAGCACACAGCGTACTAAGTAGCATGCCTCTTCACCATTCATTTACACCTAGTGGACCATCCCTTGCTTCTCTGAATAGCACCAGTGACTCGAAAAGGACAGTCTGTTTTCTTCCCGCAAATTAAACAACTCGGACTAAGCGATATATTAATGCCCCTGTGAATACAGGTCAGGTGGCACATCTAAAAATCACCGACGACACTAATGTGTGCCTTAAGGCCCTAAAATGGTTTTGGACACTTAGGGGCCTTTGTGGCAATACCAGCCCCACACAAAGGGATTATTGGAGTTCACTTTGATGTGACTTATTATTCCATTTTATTGCTAGACGACTGAAAGACTATTTAGGAGTTACGTCACAGGCTGACTGCGACTTCTGTGTCATACAGAGCAGGAAAGACAAAGGGAAACACAATAGGACAGTAGGTGGTACAGTACAGTGGGTAGAGTGTCTGACTCAGTGAAACCTATCGTAGGCGCTAATCCTCTTGGGCACAACTGTTGTATTGTCTTAAACAATAAATAAAGATAAAATGAAAACAAGACTTATTACAATGATGACCTATTGGCTTTGATGGCACATGACAGGAAGCGATGCATTTGTTAACTGGTTTGAGAGCTGATACAGGAGATGGCATTAACGGGTTCATGGACTAAGGGACTCAAACAAGAATTAAACCCTTAAATTTAATATGTAACTTGATTTCTACAATGGACCCGAGCGCAAACAAATTAATAATAAGGTCAATTACGTTAGTCAAATATCAATAACTGAAATAGATTTGGAGGTGATTAACAGGATGTTGGCGACCGACACTGACCACCAATCACGCCGTCGGTTTACAGTCAAGCCGCCGGTGACCTGAGCTTAAACGAGCAGCACAAAGCTGGTGACAAAAGCAAACGACATATGGCAGCCCAGATTATACGATTAGCCAATCAGACAGGTGACTTGCCAGGCTACACCTAATCGCAGGATTCTCTAATTGGTTGCAGGTGATGAAAATGGCACTGGCTTAAAGCTGTTTCAAGTGGACACCTGCCCGCCTTTTTCTCAACGGCTCTCTGCCTGCCTACTCAGAACAGCAACTTATGACATGACAACATATTTAAAAAACGACTTCAGAGCTATTTTGAACATGAGACTTTGCACTACAGTATTTGACACTGTTTATAATTTTGTGTTTGTTTATTCTCATACCTGTTATCATTAGTCAGAAGGCAACTTGAAAACTTGTTCCCAGATATTGTTTTATAATCAATCGACGCTTCTGTTTTGTTATTGGAATTTGCAATATAGCTACTAGTCGTAGACGCCGTAACTTTGACAAAGTAACGGTAAACTTCCATCATACGATCACTTTTAATTGCACACCGTGACTTTTTTCGGAAAGACCAGTTAGGGGAGCCATACATTCCAGCCAGCGCCAGTCAAAGAGTTTTGGGAACAACAGCTACAGCAAAGCTTACCTCTGGGGAATGGGTTGGGTTGCACCACATACAAGAAAGCGTGGACCATGTGAAAGAGAATCCCTATGGGTCCTGGTTCATAATAGGCATGTGTTTCGTAAACTCCGGAGGGAACGAACCCAAAATCCAAAGTTCCTGACTGTGAGTCTTGATCAGCTGCCCGGAGCTCACTGGAAGCTGAGCCCAGACAGAGCAGAATGACTATCCCCACTTTCCCAACCATGACAAACAGCAGACAGGTGTACCAGAGCAGGACGAAAATCAGCTTCAAAAACAGCAAACAGTGGGAAGAGGACTGTCTTAGGAAGGTAAAAAAAAATCCTATTCAACTGGAATCTGTGTTGGTTCTAAGTGCACAAAAAATGAAAAACAAATAAAGTATTCCAAAACGATGGCCGGAAAAGTTAAGTTGTGCTCCTAAGGGATGAGGAACATCTCCCCCAGGACCGGTGTCTTGCCAGCAGGAGATGTACAGCGTCACTCCCTCCTCTCTGCTCCCGCGTTCTGAGAGTGCTTTCCACCAGTGCTGAATGGATGCGAGCCTCCGTGAGTGAGGGAGTGTGTGCGTGTGCGCAGGAGTGTGTGCCGACGGCGCTCTGTGTGTCTCTGTGTGTGTGCGTGCATGTGTGTTACCCCTGGCAGTGCAGTCACTGCGGGAGCCACAGTGGCAGAGGAATGGATTGCAGTGGTGAAGTGGAACCTTCAGCAAGCTGGACCTGGTTGGATATTCCTGAAGTGGGAAGCACAACAGCCTCACAATGTCCGTCACATCAACAGGGTACACAAGCTAATTTACTTAGCATCTCAGCAAGGTAATATTTCACTGGCATTTAAATCTTACCATATAAACCAATCCGACCAGTAAAGTTAAGAGAAGGTTAGTTTTTTTTTTCCTGTATCTTGTGGTTTGAAGCTGATGAACACCAGGGATGCCAACTTTCTTCAGCTGGCTGGCGTGAGATTTTAAATTTCAGACAAGTCTGCACACATTTACGTGTATATAACAGTTTTATTACCTTGTAAATAGTCTGTAGGGTTTACAAACTACCCCAGTGCTTTTGATGTAGCTCATTTTAGGTTTAAAATGGAATAACATACATTTGCCGTAAGATTTCTTGCGTGAGCGTCACGCCAGATGTGTGAGAGTTGACAACCCTGTGAATACCTTCCCACCAGTGTCGCATATCTTACAAATTACATTTTCACCTTCGTTTTACATGTCACGCACCTCATTTTAGAGGTAAAATCTATCAAACTTCCATTTTTGTTTGTTTGGTTTATTTAGTACCGTGAACCTCATAGTTATTCACTGTTCAATATGTCATTGCCCTGGAAATGCAGCATGTCACTCAGACAGAACCACAAGACCCAAACACAGGGAATGCATTGACTGGTCACCGGATATCATGTTACAGTGTGATTCTAACATGGCAGGGGGTAAAAGCATGCAAGGGGACTGGGGCAACTGGAATATGTGTAGGGAGGAGGGGGTACTGAGGTGAGAAGAGCAGTAACAACATCTGGGTACAGTGTTTCCTCTGGAACCTGCAGACGGTCCGTGTTTTTGCTCCCTCCCGGCTCCCAGATCAGGGGTGTCAAACTCCAGTCCTGGGGGGCCGGAGCCCTGCACATTTTTGGATTTCCCCTCATTTAACACAACTGGTTCAACTCCTTGTGCTAATTTCCACACAGGGCTTGAGCTGAATCATTTGCGGTGGAACGGGGAAAGAGCTAAGCTACACAGGGCTCCGGCCCCCCAGGACTGGAGTTTGACACCCCTGTCCCAGAGCAGAAATGCGGACTGTCTGGGGGTCTCTAAGGACGGGGTTGTGAAACACTGCTCTTAATGAAATGGATAAAAGACTCATGATGATGAAACAGCATGACAGAAACAGACAGGCTATACAAAGTCTGTCTTACCTGCTGGGATAAACAGTAAAACATAAGCAAAATGAACAGTCAGAAAACTCCCAAGGAGCCCACTGTGACCTTACAGCTAAACATGTAATCTTTACATTAACATAAATTAAAACGGATACGTCTGAGACCCTCAGCCCATGCTATTCCGATTCAGTGTCCTCCCTCGGCAAAAACATGGTAGCACTCAAGACGATTCAGAAAAGGTCAATCTTCTACTAAAAGCAAAATAAATAACAAATAATCAGACACTGACCTTATTTCAATCACTTTGTCTTAATATTCTTAAAATAAACTGATAAAACTAATGTGGTCTTTTCAGGGGGGGAGGGCGGGGGGGGTTTGGAGGAGCACCACGTCTACAAGCACAATCTACAGTAATTAAACGACGGCAAGGAGCCCAGTGTAGACTGTAAGTGAGAGGACAGGACCAGGTCATTGTCCTTCAGAGCCCAGGGTGATGATCCACATAGACAGACTTAACTTATATAGCTGTGTGATTTAAAAATCAGCCTCTTGCTTCTCAGGGGTGAATATTGTGTGCAGGTTTGGTCACCATACAGTAAAAAGGACATTGCTGCCTTGGAAAGGGTGCAACGGAGGGCTACGAGAATGATTCCTGGTCTTAGGGGAATGTCTTATAAGGAGAGGTTAGCTGAGCTGAATCTGTTTAGCCTCGAGCAAAGGAGACTAAGGAGGGACATGATCCAGGTATATAAGATTCTAACAGGTCTCGATGCTGTTCAGCCAAATGGCTACTTTAATATTAGTTTAAATACTAGAACTCGTGGCCATAGGTGGAAATTAGCAGGGGAACATTTTAAACTGAATTTGAGAAAACACTTCTTTACACAGCGTGTAGTCAGAGTATGGAATAGTCTTCCTGTTAGTGTAGTGCAAGCTAAAACCCTGGGTTCCTTTAAATCAGACCTAGATAAGATTTTAACAACTCTGAGCTATTAGTTAAGTTCTCCCCAAACGAGCTTGATGGGCCGAATGGCCTCCTCTCATTTGTAAATTTCTTATGTTCTTACTGTATATCCATGTCACACTTTTCCATGGTCACGTGATTTTCATATTGCTGACATCAATATGATAACTTTTATTCCCGAATACCTGCTGTATTGAAAATAAACAGACAATAAGAAACACGTTTCTGCCCAGGTAAGTTAGACAAAAAAAAAAAAACACCCCGAAGTAAAAGATTATAAATGAATTCAATTTATCAACTGAATAAACATATCGGAATATTCAGATAAACAGAATGTGATGAATTGGCTAATCAATCAGCACTTTTACCACCAAGCAATAATGTAAACATACAGCAAATATGTTAACCTAAAAGGCACTGTAAATGGAAATGATCGCTTAGATGAATGCTCATTTAGATGAATCTTGGTGCGCCAGCGTGTCACTGATCCCGTGCCCCGAGACATTGCGCAGAGGTGAGTTCTGTAACCGCAGTGATTTACACAGATTTTCCCAGCGGCTCTCGCCCTGCCAACTCGTACTAAAAAAAAAAAAAGGGTTAAAAGTGACGACAGGGATTGACTTAGATGAGGCGTCCTCTCCAAGCAACGGCGGCTTTGATCTCCAGTTCAGGGAGAGCCTAAGTATTGCCACACACGACTGGGCCTGCTTACTGGGAACAGAGGGCCCAGCATGAGGTGAGGCATCTTTGTGCCAGTGTGAAATGCAGTTAACAGCGCAGTGACAAAGCAGATGATTTGAGTCACTTCATTTTGCACCAGAAGATGCAACATTGCCTCCCTGCTGAGCTTTAAAAGCCTCCCGTTAGTGTCATGCCAATAAAGTGCCTTTAGTCACTGTTTAATGAAGCACCAGCAAAGTGCATTGAAGTGATTTTATTGCTGGGAGTCATATAGTTCCATGTCATGTATTAGTTAAATACAGGTTCTTTTATTAGCTCTGAGACACATGGTTGAACACAAAGCTGGACAATTTTAGGCGACAGTGTGTGGCTCAGTGAGTTAGGATGCTGTGTCTATTAGTGGGAAGCAAAAGTAGAAAGTTCAGGTCCAGAAAGTATGAATCCAAACCAAGATTTTGATTCAACCAACCAGAATGGGACTCTTCATACGCAACTGGTTGGTTGAAACAAAATCTTGGTCTGGATTTGTAATTTTTGGACCGGAACTTTGCATCTCTATGGCATGTTGCTGGTTCAAATGCTGGCGGAGGGATTTCATCGGTCAGACCTGTATTATCAAATGTTGGACCATTCATAAACTCACTAAAGGACATTATTCTTAACTCATTAGTTGAACATTAACTGGTGACGTCCCCAATGTGAAATCGGTCCCCAAGTTGCATCCAGTTTGAATCAAACTGGTCTCAGGAGTTTGTGCTGCATTTGCACCGGTTTTTGTCCCATTGAAATCTTCGTATCTGTTGCTTTAGTTCCAGAGATATAAATGTTTGTTTACATGGAGACGTCACCTCTGTGGAGTTGGCCCCTCCATTTGCATAAATTATGAATGTTTTAAAAAGAAAATCACATATTTAGCAGAGGGAATCAAAAAAATGCAAGTGGCGAATATAAAAACATAAAACTTTTGGAACGAACATTTATTTTTAAACTGTATCTATCATATTTAAAATCATATTTAAACATAACTAGTCTTAAATCCACAGATGGGTTGCTGAAGAGAGTATTGTATGAGTATTATACTGTACATCCCAGCTGCCTAACCCAGTGCAGATGGGGAATGAAAGAAGCGTAATGAAATTACACTGCGCCAAAGAAAGAAGCGTAAATCTACCCAGAGAGACTGATGGTAACAGGTGGATTCTGAGACTTTCAGCATATTAGGCTGCATCAGTGAATAATGTATGCTATACGGTACTGTGCAAATGTCTTAGGCAGTAAGAGAAACTGGTATATAAATAATCTTCATATTGGTGTAAAACTATCTTATCTTATATTATCTTATCTTATCTTATCTTATCATTTTATCTTATCTTCTTATCTTATCATCTTATCTGATCTTAATACGCCCATGGCTTTTTTGACTTCCCTGAGGAGAGGTTTGAGAACCAAAGTACAGATTTCAGTCCAAGATTTCAGTAATTTTTTTTTAGAGAACAGACAAAATTCACGTTTATTTTTTTATTGTGTTACTGTTAATTTGCATATGTTGCAATGTCACATTGCATTCTTTTTCCCTGAACAAATACACAGTAACTACTAAGATAAATAGCCTTAAACATATTATTTGACTGCCTTAGGCTTTTGAACAGTACTGCACCTGCATTTCAGGAAATCTCATCTATCGCCGTCTAACTTTGTCTTGACGAAGACACTAAACACAAAAAAAAATCCTTAAAAGATGTGATGCTGTAATTCACTACTTCAACGCTAATATGAATTGTAATAATAGCCAGTGTATGGCTCTTGGTGTGCTTGGGATAGGCTTCCGGTATGGAGCGAGTGTCTGCATGCTGTGAAAGTGTAGGGGAGAGAGGTGCGTAATTCTGATTGTTTTTTTTTTAAGACAATAACGAGCGCTGTTCCATTTTTATATCATGCCTCCAGCTCCATTCACTCTTCCACTTGTCTCACCCACCCACTCGTGATGCTCCATTATTCTTCATTTCCCCCTACATTTATTCATTTTTATCCATCGCGTTACACATTACACCCATTCATATATTACA